CTTAGTGATTTTTAGAATCAAATTCTCATTCAATATTGGAATTCTTAGTGATTTTTAGAATCAAATTCTTATTCAATATTGGAATTCTTAGTAATTTAAAGAATCAAATTCTCATTCAATACTGGAATTCTTAGTGAATATTTAAGAATCAAATTCTGTCAAAATTGGAATCAAATTCCTAGTGATTTTAGAATTCTTACATGATTATTCATCAAATTCTTAAAAATTGTCTTGACAAATTCTCAATGACCTAAAAATCAAAAACATAGTGAGTGAAAGCAATTTGTAGTGTAGCCAATTCTTAGTGGAACTTTCAAATCAAATTCTTAAAGATGTTAAGTGCCTTATTCTTAACTTTCAAAGTGTGAATTCTTAGTCAAAAATCCTGTGGTGTTTGAATTCTCAATTAAAAGTGTGATAATAAGTGTGATATGTGGATTCAAAGTGTGATTTGCAATATCTTAATCAATTCTTATTGTGAGTTTCAAATTCTCAAAGTGTGATTTTAACATTCTTAATTCTCAAAGTGTGATTTTAAGATTCTGAATTCCCAAAGTGTGATTTTAAAATTCTGAATTCACAAAGTGTGATATTAAGATTCTGAATTCCCAAAGTGTGATTTTAAAATTCTGAATTCCCAAAGTGTGATTTTAAAATTCCGAATTCCCAAAGTGTGATTTTAAAATTCTGAATTCCCAAAGTGTGATTTTAAAATTCTTAATTCTCAAAGTGTGATTTTAAAATTCTGAATTCTCAAAGTGTGATTACTCTATGTGATAGCCTAAATATCTACTCTCAAAAGTGTGATATATAAGATGACATCACAACGTCGCCCCACCCCCGTGTGCTCCCAGTTTGATCTGGGAGCTCTAGAGGAAGACTCTGATGCTGATAGTGATGATAATATGAATGATGACAGGTGGGTCTGATACACTGTCCTTCCTCAAGGTCCAGGGGTTTGATTTGCTGTCCTTCCTCAAGGTCCAGGGGTTTGATTTGCTGTCCTTCCTCAAGGTCCAGGGGTTTGATTTGCTGTCCTTCCTCAAGGTCCAATGGGTTTAATTTTTTATAAATAAATTGTTAGAGAATGGGATATCGAGATTTTAATTCTGAAAAGTGTTAAATAGAGTTCTGTAAGTTAAATTTCTGTCCATTTCTATTTGCAGTTCTGCTCCAGTCAAATATAATACTCAAGATTTGTCCGTCCGTGGTCGTTTACGTCGTTTGCTGATCAGAAACCCTCATACAAGTAAGTAACAGAAACTATAGCATCTATAGAGAGATTATGCCAAGGGGTTTGGTCAAGGACCAGCTGGTAGAAAGGATCCTCATTATTCCAGTCAACCCAGCTGTAAATGGGTACAGAAAATCCAGGAAAGATCAATGCCAAGAGGTTTGGTCAAGGACCAGCTGGTAGAAAGGATCCTCATTATTCCAGTCAGCCCAGCTGTAAATGGGTACAGATAATCTGGGAAATGCCTAAAGGTTTGGCCAAGAAATCCCTTGCATCATTCCACTAAAATTCTAAATTATATTACGTGTATTTGACACACTGATAGCATCAATTTACACCATTCCAATTTTCAATCAGACTTCTGTAGTTCCTGTAATTCCACTAACACTCTAAATTATATTACATGTATTGGACACACTGATAGCATCAATTTGCACTGTTCCAATTTTCAATCAGACATCTGTGGTTCCTGTAATTCCACTAAAACTCTAAATTATATTATGTGTATCTGTGACACTGCTAGTATCAATTTACACCATTCTAATTTTCAATCAGACGTCTGTGGTTCCTGTAATCCCACTAAAACTAAGTGTTTGATGACGTCACTATCACTAAAAGTGCTCTAATGAGCAGCTCTTGTGATAGTGACATCTTGAAGCAGTTTTTAATTGACTGATTGGATTGAACATCTTTTTCCAGGACTAGCTACAACATTTTTTGATTTGATCATTAAAGTGGTGATATGTTTAACCTACGTATCACGGGTCTTACTAGATACCCCAGATCAGTATGCTTGGTAAGTCACTTTATTATCTTCGGTTCGTTTCCTAATTAGTCAAAATAGTCAAAATAAATAAACCAAGTACTAACGATCCAAACAGCAAAACAAACCTCGAAATCCAAAACAACATATTGGTGAAACATTGGTAGCAGCTAATGAACTTTTTATATGAGGAAGTATATCAATTATAAGTGAGTCAGTATTTCAAAATGAACAGTGGTATCAGGTGTCTAGAAGAGTAAGCATACTCTGTATGTCACAACCGCTCATATGAGGAAGTATATCAATCATAAGTGAGTAAGTATTTCATAATGAAAAGTGGTATCAGGTGTCTAGAAGAGTAAGCATACCCTGTCTGTCACAACCGCTCATATGAGGAAGTATATCAATCATAATATTTGAAATATCAATTGTAGCTTCTATTTTCCAGTGATGGATCTCCGTGTGACCCAGGGGGAGGAAATGAAACCCAAACTCAATCCACAGCCACCATAAATTGGTAAGTTAATTTAAGTTTAATTTTGCTTTTCTCTGATCTTTTCAGTGTAATGTAAATTTTGTGTATCCTTGCATGAAAACAGGGCCGTAACTCAAAGCAGGTAAATGCCTGATGGGAAATTTGACCCTCATAAAAGGAAATTTTGACCCCTTCCCCCCCAAAAAGATCTAGATTTTTGCCGCATAGTTACGGCCCTGTTAATGTAGAAGTTGTCCTAAATCTTTATTTTGTAGCTTGTTCTTTTATTTTGTTTTATTTGTGTCCAAGTTTCAAGCAAGGGTTTCTTTCTTGTGGAATTGCAGGAACCACAAACTTCTGATTAAAAATTGGAATGATGTAAATTGATGCTATCAGTGTCCCTGATACACATAAAAAATTTAGAAAACCTCCCTTCAAAACACTTAGTTTTAGTGGAATTACAGGAATCACAGACATCTGACTGAAAATTGGAATGATACAAATTGATGCTATCAGTGTCCCTGATACACATACAAAATTTAGAAAACCTCCCTTCAAAACACTTAGTTTTAGTGGAATTACAGGAATCACAGACATCTGACTGAAAATTGGAATGATACAAATTGATGCTATCAGTGTCCCTGATACACATAAAAAATTTACAAAAAAACCTCTTTACAATCTCTTTAACTTATTTGGGTAGTGATAGAACTTAATTTCAGAATTCAGAATCCAGTATCTCTTTTCAAAATGTAGATCTGGTGTGAGTAACCTCTAAATATAAAGAGACCCTTGCTTGAAGCCCCTAGGGTTATTATATGTGTATGTATATATAGGTTTGTGATGTTATGGGTTCAGAGACCAATGGGTATATGGATTATACAGATACTGCTCTCAGTTATCACCCTTCTCAAGGCCTCAGTTATGGTCTATATCTCAGCTAAGGTGAGCTCAAATTCTTTAAGTCACTTCCAGGGACAGGTGCACCATTTTTGGGTTGATTTGAGTCTTGAATTTATGTAAATAGTCTTCAGAAGTACTAGAAATGTAAAATCACATAATTCCTTTAAAAATATCTCAAACTAGGAATTTTACTCACTATTTCTATAGATGTCTTTTCTATATATAACAGTGTCTCAAGAAAAGACGAGTCATCATTTTAACTTATAAACGTGGATAATTCTGGACACACATGGATTTGAAGGCTCAAATTTCGACAGTGAGCTGTGAACACTTTTACTGATTAACTTAACTAGAAATTCCAGTTTCTGAGACTAAAGTATGACTGGTCAAAAAAATGGTGCATCTGTCCCTTTAAATCTGCTCTCTCAATTTTGGTTTTCTGTCTTTGGTGTGTGTGTTTTTTTTTCAATGTGTAACTGCATCTGTATCTTAATTTGTCCTTCAAACTAAATGTCAAAGAATTTCAGGCAAAATTCCATCTGTTTTCAGGGTCACAGAAGGGAACAGATGCTTTCCACTCATTTTATTTTGGAACTGGTCTGCACGGTTCCTGTTTTAGCCACAGTAAGTTTTTCCTTATCCTTGGTTACGTCAAAATGAATAGTGTTCATGGGTTATTATCTTGGACAACGTGTGAACATCTGATGACCTTGAACAAATTTGAAAGAAAAATTTCTTAAGATCTTAGATTGATTTGAGTAAGCCATTGAAAAGAAACCCAAAGAACTAATTCTGAATTGGATGCCATAGGCTATGCGCTTTAAAAATCCCTTGACAGATAGAGCTAAAAGAAAAGGGAGTAAGCTATGCCACTGTTGGGCAAAATTTCCTCATTGCACACTCACTGTTCATCGTCGTGAAACCCATGCAGGTACAGAAAAGTCAAACATTAAACACGATTTCATATGTCCAGTTACAACTCTCTGATGAGGAGTGAAGAATTGAGAAGAATATTCTCTATTTTAGGTGTTCTATCCAATCCTACTACAGAATCTCTTCCTACCAGTGTTTCTCAATGTTTGGTTGGCTGAACATGCTCTTGAGAGAGTTTTTGTAAGTATGTTTTAGCAGTAATATTTTAGATTGCTTGGGGGTGGCTCAGTGAGTTAGACGCTTGCTCGTAACCTGAAGGTCCAGGGTTCAATCCTAGCATAGGTCGAGATAATACCTTCAGATTTTTCAACCCAGTTTCTACTACTGACACTAGGAGCCCTGGTGGCTCAGTGAGTTAGACACTTGCTCACTAAACTGAAGGTCCAGGGTTCAATCCTGACATAGGTTGAGGTCATACCTTTTGATTTTTCAACCTGGTTTCCCGTGTCAGTGATACAGGTAAGAGGGGCTGACATGGAAAAAGCGTCTAGTCGTTCGGATGGGACAATAAACCGAGGCCCTGTGTGCTACAGGCTGTGCACATTAAAAATCCCTCGACAGTTGGAAATCGAAAAAGAGCAGGCTACTGTTGCTGTCCGGGCAAAATTTCCCTCATTGCACACAGCATGGCCTTTTTATCGTTTGGACCCCTGGAAGACATAATTGATCTATTTTTCTTGGTCTCTCAGGCAAAATTTTGAGTTAACAATCAAAGTTTTGGTATTATATTTCTGTTTTCAGAATGACCTTCATTTAACTCGTCAAAGATTCCAAACTATGTCGGTGACGTTATCACAACAAATTTTACTGCTGATAGCCAGTGTCTTCTGTCTGGTTTTTACTACGTAAGTTATAGAACACCTCATACCACTCTTATGGAGATTGAGTAGTCATATGCTTGTTAGGATTGAAGTCTTGGGTTCAATAAGAGTACAAATTTTCAACCCTGTTTCCCCTGTCAGTGATGAAAGACAGAGGAACTGGCATTGAAAAAGAGTCTTATTGTTTTAGTGTGACAATAAAGTGAGAATTTTCCTTATTGCACACTGCATACATTTGTTTTTTGTGCATATTGATACAGTCTAGAGATTTCAATAGTTAAAAAACTTTGGAAATGCACTTTATTTGGTTGAAAAATCACTATAAATGAAAATATCACAGCTTTTAGCTGCAAATATGTGAATTTTGCTATATTGTCACTATTCTGAACAAATTTTCCCCATTGCCCACCCTCATTAGTCAAAAAAGATGCAGAAAAGTAGGGTGTAAAACTCCATTTCATTTCGTTTTTGATAATTTCAGAATTTGTGGTATTCAACATATTCAAAGAGGAAGTAGAGACACTCAGCTCACGATGTTTGAGTCCTTCTATTTTGTTATTGTGACGTTCTCCACCGTTGGTTACGGTGACATCTCACCAGATATCTGGTTTGGACAAATGTTTATGATCGTTATGATCTGTGTGGCCTTGGTCTTCGTTCCCAGACAGGTAAGTTCGTTTTCTTGATTGATTTTTGATTGAATTTAGTTGAAACGGGTTATTTTGATTTATTTGATTGTGGATTTGATG